GAAATACGTCAACGCCATAGCCAACTGAGATCTGAAGAGGCTTTTGATAGCAAGGACACGAAAAGTATTCCCACTATACGCTTCATGTCGAGAGTAAACATGTGACCCTTTTCACTTTGACTTCAATAAAACATCCTTTGTTACTTTGTTTGAAATTGTGCTTCCTTCCTCATCGAAAAGAACTTGATTTCCTATTCCAACAACAATTTTAGAGACACTTCTCAGGTTATCTTTCAACCCTTCGACATAAGCAACTCGATTCACCATGAACTTTCCATTTGTAACTTTCCCATATTATTTGACTTTGCACTTTTTATTTTTTCCAAATTTCAAAACACCAACATTCTCTAACTTACGAAATCTCTCAAATTCTCCTTCCTCCCAGTCATGTGAAACGAGCATCCACTATCGATATACCAATTTTCATCATCTTACTCGTCACATAGTACTTGTAGTCAATTAGAGAAATTTAGGTCCCAAGACCTTTTGGGTCCTTGGACATTACTTTGAAATAAATTGTGCAACGAGGAACTAAAAACCCAATTACAAACTTTTGGTTTAAAATTGCCAATTAAGTCAATTTACTCATCTTTAGGCATTGATATGTAATCATGGAATGACAAAGTTTCAACTTCGTGTTTCTCTTTTTCAAATTTTCCTTGGAAAATATCAACTTTTGTTGTTTTAACTTCTCTCTATTTTGACACTTTCAACATTGATTCTTGAGAAGAGGCACTCCCCTTCAATGATTCATTTAAGTAATTCTTCTTTGATTGAAATTTTCTTCCTTTTCCCTCTAACAAATGGTTAAGGTTTCTCATGTCATTTCTGTCTTTGACAATGGATACTTTTAAAATTTTCTTCAAATTAGAATTTAGAAATTTTGGACCATCAGGTTTGAATGCTACATTTTTTTTGCCACATTTTTTGTTTTTGTGAATTGCATTTGAAATGATGACGTTTGTGGTCGTGGCTGAAAGCGATTCCGGTATCTATTTCGTTAACCAAAATAAGTAATCGGACCTTGTTGGACATGGTTCGCTCCATGATGAGTCGAGCTTTGCTACCAATCTCTTTTTTAGGGTATGCCTTAGAGACTGCCGCCCATATCCTTAATCTAGTCCCTACAAAGAAGGTTACCGAAACACCTCATGAGATGTGGACTGGGAAAGTTCCCAATTTGGACCACATCAAGATTTGGGGCTGCGAGGCTTTCGTGAGACGCGAGACTCAAGATAAGCTCGAACCTCGAAGTGAGAGGTGTATTTTCATCGGCTACCCATAGAAATCCTTTGGTTACCTCTTTTACAGACCTAGTGAGAATGTGGTCTTTGTGGCAAGAAGAAGGGTCTTTCGAGAGAGAGAATTCATAAGCCAGGGAAACAGTGGGAGGCAAATTGACCTTGAAGAAATTCAAGAGTCAAGTGATGAAGAAACATCAAATCCTAGCAATCAACCTGAGGAGGAAACTCATGTTGATCCGGTTAATGAATATGTACCTCTGAGGCGTTCCACGAGGGTTACGAATGCACCTGAGCATTACTATGGTTTCCATAGTACTACGGAAGGTGATACATTTATCAGTGATAGTACACTGGTAAATTTGGATGAACCTAACAGCTTTAAGGAAGCCATGGCAGGCCCAGAGTCTGCTAAATGGAAGGAGGCTATGGACAACGAGATACAGTCCATGTATGACAATCAAGTTTGGAACTTGGTTGACAATGTACCTGGCCGTAAGATAGTCGGGTGCAAGTGGATCTTCAACAAGAAGACCGACATGGATGGCAAAGTGCATGCTTATATGGCGCGACTAGTTGTGAAGGGTTTTACTCAGACTCAGGGCATTCATTATGATGAAACCTTCTCACCAATAGCAAAGATAAAATCTATTAGGTTCATGCTAGACATTGTTGCATTTCATGATTATGAAATATTGCAAATGGATGTCAAAACCGCTTTCCTTAATGGAAAGCTGGCTGAGGATGTTTATATGAGTCAAAGAGTTTGGTTTCTCGATAAGCGAAGATGAGTCTTGCGTATATGTCGGAGCTAGTGGGAGTATAGGTAGCTTTTTGGTATTGTATGTGGATGACATACCACTCATAGGAAATGACATCCCAACTTTGCAGGAGGTGAAGTCCTGGCTTGGGAAGTGCTTTGCTATGAAGGACCTTGGAGAAGCTGCCTAAATCCTAGGGATAAGGATATTAAGAGAAAGGAGTAAAAGACTAATTGGACTTAGTTAGAGTACTTACTTGGATAAAGTGCTGAATAGGTTCAGCATGCAAGACTCCAAGAAAGGAGATTTACCGATCCAGAGTAACGCCAAGCTGAGTAAGACTCAGAGTCTGAGTACAGAGGCTGAGATAGCTGAAATGATTCGAGTACCGTATGCTTCCGCTTTAGGCTCGATCATGTATGCTATGACTTGTACTCGTCCTGATGTGGCTTTTGCTTTGAGCATGGTCAGCAGATATCAGGGGAACCCTGGCAAGGCTCACTGGACTGCGGCAAAGAACATTCTCAAGTATTTTCGGAGGACTAAGGACTGGGTCCTTGCCTTCGGTGGGAGTGATGACTTGAGAGTGGTAGGGTATAGTGATGCTAGCTTCCAGACTGACAGGGATAATTTCCGCTCTCAGTCAGGCTGGGTCTTTACCTTAAACGGAGGAGCAATTACTTGGAAAAGTTCCAAGCAGGAGACGGTAGCTGATTCGACTTGTGAATCAGAGTACATAGTAGCGAGTGAAGAGGCGAAGGAGGCAATATAGCTGAAGAACTTCATTGGAGACCTTGGAGTTGTACCAGCTATAAAGGAGCCTATGGAATTTTCTGTGATAGTGAAAGTGCAATTGCCTTAGCGAAGGAACCAAGGGATCACGGGAGATCCAGACACATCGACAGAAAATACCATTTCATCAGACATCGGATAGAAGAAGGAATCCTCGTGGCAAAGAGGCTATCATCGGATGAGAACCCAGCAGATCCCTTCACGAAGGGACTGACTAGGGTTAAGCATTTACAACATGCGAGGCGCATCGGGCTGAAGGATGATATTAGTTTTACAGATTAGATAGGTTTTTCTGAAACTTGTAAAATGTAATCGATATTTGATGATGAATAAAAGTTGTTGTTTATTTATGAGTAAAGTGTTTCTATCTTTGTCAATTATTTACTATAGTTTCAGCTTTGCATGTTTTGACTTCCAAAATAATTACTTTATTCAAAATATCCACAGTCGGTTATATGTTGGAAGTAGATATGAATCAAGACTGTCATGAAGTTGGCTTGTAGATGTCTAAGTAGTTAGACATAGCAAGAATTGCTACGACACTCATGAGTGCTCATAAGTTCTGAGTATTGGATTCAACCCATGCTCACTTGTATCACTTCATGGAATTTATCTCGACTGATCGTGAGACGGTAATATCATATAAATCTTAAAACCTAGAGATATGAGTTGTTGACTATGAGTTGGTTATACATTGATTGTACGAAAACGCATTGGTAACTCGATGTTATAAAACGTGCCTTTGTGTATAATTCAACAAGTAGTAGAACAAGCATATGAGTCAAAGTTTATTTGTTCCTTCTTGGATTAGAAGCGATATTTAGGCCAGTCGATGATTTTGTTTTGACCTATGTACCGGCCCGGTCAGAACTAAATTGATGTGTTCGATTAAGTTCTATGTCAAACAAATCGGAAATCGGGAAACAAACTGCTGGATAATAAGTACGACATTGTTCCATGTATTTGTCCGGCTGATATCATGAGATCAGAGGATTTTATGATCACTTATCTTAAATGGCGTAACATCATTATCTCAATTCCGAGAGACCTTGAAAGAGCTATGATTGCTAGTCGCTTCCTGAAGTGATACTTGCAGTAATAGTTATTAGACTTATCCAAGTGGAAGACTGTTGGATCAGGTGTCTAAGTCCATAACTATTTCTGGTATGTACTTCACCCGGTTTGGCATGGTCCATTTGGGTTGCATGGCATCATGCACTTGGCTAGACTAAAATGAGAGAAAAGACACTTATGGTTATTTATATATTATGGGTTGTGATATATTAATAATATTATTTAATTAGTATTGATCAAGAATTAATTTAGAAGTAAGTAATTTTGTGATCAAAAGAAGACTAATTAAATATATGGGCTAATTGTATAATCATCCATTTATTTAATAGTAGGCTTGTAGTCCATGGTGTACTGAGTTGGGCTAAAACCCATGAGGTGCTCCATGGATGCTCCATGGTGGTTTTGAACCCATGGATCCAAGAAATGAAAAGTCACGTCATTTAGGGTTTACATGGTGTAACCCTACTTGTGACACACTATAAAATGGATGTGTTAGCTACCAAATTCGGGACTAGTGAAGAACAAGAGGGCATAGCCGATTTCTAAGAGTGTTCCATTCCTCTCTAAGTTATTCCAAGTGTATTTGGTGTTGTGTGAAGCATTTGAGGCATCACATTTGGGGTGCTAGGCTCACAAGATTCTTAAAGGAATTCCGCAACAAAAGGTATGTATTTCTTACTAGCTTTCATGTTTAAAAGTTCCCCATGTATGCTAGATAGGTTATGAACCTTGGAAAATCAAATTTCCATGTATCATAGTAAAACATAGATCCAAGATTTCTAGGGTTGCACGTACACCATAGGAGTGTTAGAATGCTCAAAACCCCTCAACTTCTTACTAAAATATATACCTGCTGAAAGAGAGATCTAGCATATGACAAAAAGAAACTACGAGGATCAGCAACATATGGAGAACTTAGCCAAAGATTACGAGAAGCCACTCCAAGTTTCAAGTTATGTGCATTAAGATCCTTGATGCCAATTGGATTCAGCAACATGTGGTTAACAGTTTAACATGAGACAAACAAAATAAGATTCTCTATTATGCATTATGCTAGGTTGTAGTTCACACTCAGTGTAGTTTTAAACATCAGGTTCAAAAAATCAAGTTTGTGAATCTCTTTTGCAGCACATCAGATGTGCTTTTTCCTTGAAATTATGTTGCTACTTGAGATACTATAGATAGGAATCCCTGATCCACCAATGCTACAAAAAAAAACAAATTTAGAATTATGTAAAGATAATTTGTCATATAAATAATAAAGAAAACCAAAAGGAGATTCGTACTTAAAAAGTTTGTCAGGTGTCCTGTCTAGAACTATATCATCATCACCAAGAACCTTCTTGCCAATAGGAGCAAACCCTCCAAAAATAACCCAGAATTCACCTGAATAACCTTCCTCTTGTAGTTTTCCATCATCTGAAATGATTTATAAAAACAAAAATAAAAAAGGTGATAAATGTGAATCTAATCATATCATATGCTTTAAATGTATATCCCATAACAATAATTGCAACATTGCATGTTACCTCATGATAAGTGTCCTTCAAATACTGAATAACCTCGAGAGCTTTAGCTCTTTCTTGAATGTTTGAGTTTGCTCCAATGAATTGAAAGATCTTCTCTTTAGTATCCAAGATAAACACATCATCATGATTCAACAAAGATCGAAAGAATTGAATCTGCTTCACATGAACAACTCTTTTCCCTTTGCATATGTACAATCGTGTTTCAAATTCCATTTCTTCAGGTTTCCTTGAATCCAGTTGCAACACCACCTTCAAGTGGCACAATACATGGTTTGAAATATCACAAGAATTTATCAGATTCATGACTTTGAATCTCTCTATGTTGCACTGCACGCCGTCCAAGAATCGCATCAAGCTCAATTGTTTCTATTGCAGTTGTTCCAGCTTCATCCTGATTATCACATTTAGTTGATTTGAATTGAAATTTTCTTTAAAAAAAATAAAAAAGTGTTACTTAATTTAGGATATAGGATGTTGTTATACATTGCTTGTATCTTTTCCCAACCAGAAGTGTATGTCCTATCCATAAGCACCTCCTCTCCCATTAGAAGTCTGCAAATATATGAATGATTAAAACAATAAAATTTTATAACTGAAATAGAAATTGTGAAAGATTACGAGCAAACCCGCTAGACAACGTATGAATCACCCATGTAGAATCTACCATAATCTGATTTTGACAAAAGAACTGGTTGAAAGTTTTCAATTCTCCATATTTCAAGCCCTCTACAAGGTGTTAAGTGAAAAACTAACAACAAATGCAAACGAATCATACATGCATATAATGACTGAATTTCTAGTGTTCTTGAAAGTATGATGATTATAAAAGAAATTGATGTTGGGTAAGGATACGGTTTAGAACCAACTCCCTGGAATGCAGGTTCCAGAGCTTTTGCAGTAGCCATAGTGCTTGTAATTTCTTAAAATGATGACAGAAGAAAATACCATCAAATTTCCAACTGTGTAGTCTCTATAAGTAAGATTTTGTGAAAGGAAGCATAGATTAGAACAGTCTTCACTAAAAAATTGAGAGAATCAAAATCGGCTTAGGCAAACATCTAATCATCCCTAAAATCATATTCTATGCTCTGAAAATTAATTCATTTAGAAAATGATCTTAAGAATTAGAGAGATTCTAAATGGAGGTTAAGATCATGATATTGAGAAATCTAAATTAGATCACAATAATAACAATATAAACTCGCAATGCAATTAACAAACGAGAGACAAATCAGTACTAACAGAGGGAAGGTTAATTAACAACAACATACCTGGGATTCGATCTAGTAATTGGCTCCAAAAACGAATTTTGGAGAGACGAATGTGAAATTGAAAGCAAAAGGTGAATAACTAATCTATCTTAAGAAATTATGGTTACTAACAGAGGGTCTGTGTCGGCTTTGACAATTGACCTGATTGCCTGCGGTTGTGAGGCGATTGACGTCACCATTTTTGCTCTTTTGAATAAGTACGCTTAAACAGAGATGGTTGGATTCCTAAGCTGGTTGTTGTATTATACCAATGTCCTGGATATGATAAACCCTAAACCCTAGAGTAGAGTGGTTGTTGGTGGCAAGTGCCAAGGAGGGGTTACCGACTTCAAATGAGATGGCGCGGATGTGTAAGCCCTTCAGGGTTTATGTTTTCCTGTGTGTACCAAATATTTTGCAAGAAAGGCAAGGTGAGTGACTGAAATCCTCAACCTCTATGCACACAGCAGGTTCATTTGACTCCAGCGTATTAGCGACCGAAAACGACAGGAGAAAGAGGAGGAAGGGACAAGGGAAAGCAATCAGAGTAGGGACAAGGGAGAGAAAAATGACACATGATAGAAATAGGTGAAGATAATTATTGATGGTTGTTACAATTTAAGTGAGATATGTGAAGCCATGGGAGATCTCTATGAAATCGCAGGTTGGGTTTTAGGTTAGAGAGAGAGAAGGCTTCTTTCTTGCTAATCGGAAGCGGTGGGGGGGGGGGGGTGTTTAATTTTTCACATAGAATTGGCGGCCATTTTTGGGGATTACATTTCCCCCTTAAAACGCGTGTTTCATTAAAAAAAATATAAAGTGACACGCTTAGATGACACACATTTTATGATAGGCGTCCTCCGTATTTATTTTTTTTTTCTTTTCTGACACTAATTTCAGGGCGCGCATAAATGCCTGTCCTCCATCCTTCAAGTTTTATAAGATATGACATTATTTTTAGGACGGACGCTTTCGTGTGTCATAAATCACTGCGCCTCATTGTTTGCGCGTCCTTATAGGGCTGTTTTCTAGTAGTGCATAAAACCCATGGTTTTAGTTGTAAGAAGAGAAGAAAAGAGCTTGAATAACATGCCAAAAACTCATGAAAAGGCATTCCATATATACTCCCATCTAAGACATACATTTATACTATGATAACATAAAGTGTCACATCCCCATTTTCATGGCCAGAAAAGACCGATTTGTTTATGCTTATTTAAAAATCAGAGTACCCTTTTTGAAAAGCAGTATTGTGGAAATTGTTCTCAGAAAACATGATAATGATATTATCAAAGCATTTCCGAAGAAACGTATTTTATTTATATTAAAACATTGAGATGTCATCGTCAATATAGAAACATAAGCATAACGAAATATTACAAGCTTTACAATAATTAAACTAGTGGCCTAATACTCCTTGAATCTCTCAGCAGAATGTATCTTTCATATAGCCACATGTGATATAATAAATTGAGTGGGTCAGGTTGGGAAACCTGGTGAGTGCATAGGATTTTCAACCCACAATAATCTAATTATTATTCAAAATCATCAAACAATTAACCTAATTTCCCATTCCCATTATCTTCTTTATTCTTAAGGATCTTTCGTAAGAATCATCTATTCTTCATTTATTTATTCCTAAGTAATAGGCAGGAAGTCCATCGCTGCTAGGGTTATCTAACAGGCACTAAGTCAATAGGTGTCAATGGCATAGCTGCCAATGTTATAGGTTAGGAACTAAGTCCATAGCTACTAATGTTCATTTGTAAGGCACTAAGTCCATAGCTGCTAGGGTTTCTAGAGTACATCTGGTGAACACATCGTTCACAAACACCTATAGGTTGCGAGCCTGCTACCCTATTCCACTAGATTCCCCCTCATCATCTATATCATCTTTCATCTCTCATTATTCTTCTACCGATCTTTTACCCAATATAGTTATAGGTATAAAAATACATATACAGTTCAAATCATGTAAAACATGTATAAATCGTTTATCTAACATAGATATCAGGAACACAGATAATAATCACATATAGAATGTATTAATATTAAATACTTCATATGTATGTGTAAGATGAAAGTAACTATGCACTCAATTGTTAAAGTGACGACTCGAAATTCGGGCAACACTTCGCTTCTAACAATTGACTTTTCCTTTGACGAAACCTAGTATTATTATCACTAAGTTTTAGTCTAATATTTATTGCAACTAATTATTAGTCAATATTTATCATTAACTCAAAGTCTACTTTCATGATCTATCAAGTAAGGAACAACTAGGATGGATCATATTGGAGATAGGATCCATTTAGTATACGAAGTACACTATTTGGAAAACCCACTTTAAACACCTAACTAAGTCCATCCTATACATCATCCCCGTAAGTAGATCAATCAGTATAACGATTTTGAATCACTGATAATTTTTGTTTATAGGTTCATAATAACGATAATGAACTTAAACATAAGTTATACTTAAAGTATGGTAAGCATAACTCACTTACATGGGGCTTAGCGAGGACTCGAGCTCTACGTGAGCAGAACTTCTGAGCTGAAAGCTCTTCTTCTCGGGGCTTTTTGGTGCTCCGGGGCTTGCTACTATCACCTAGGAGGTGCTATGGGAAAAGAATAGAGGCTTTGGGAGTGTTTAAGAGAGAATGGTTGAGAAAGGTGTGAGAAAATAAGTGATTTGCGATTTCTGTTTATAGGCTGGAAATCTCACGAATGCGGGGCGTTCGCTTGCCACGTGTCATCATCTCGTTCAAATTCGTGGGGGAAGATGGTTCGGCTCAGATTGTGCCATGTGTCACTCGCAGGTTTAGTCCAAAATTAATTGTCTTCTAAAATTCATAACTTTCGCATACCAGCTCCGTTTTTGACATTCTTTATATCCACGCGTAGGTATCGACAGTATCTATAACTTTCGTTTAGACTCCGTTGGCTAATTTTGACTTATTTTAAAGTTATATTTTAATAGGCTTAGAAAATTAAAGTCCGTTAAAAGTTCATAACTTTGTCATCCGACGTCTGATTTTGACTGTCTTTATATCATTGAGCTCCTATTAACGAGATCTTCAATTTTCATTTAGGTTGTGTCAGCTAAAAATTGATCGATCTAAAATTCGACTTCCGGGCTATGTACTGCTATGCAAAATCTTAGAAAATTCAGAACTTCCTCAAATGAAGTCAGATTTGGACGTTCTCTATATTCACGATCTCGGTTTAACGTCTACTATGAATTTCATTTAGGTTACTAAGGCTAAAAAGTATTCTACAAAAATTTACTTTCTACGTTACGCGGAGCCATGTCGGTTTAATCGCAAAACTTCGATGGGTCATAACTTCTTTGTTATAAGTAAGATTCCAGCGTTCTTCATATGTACTGAATCCTAGCGATATATACTATAATTTTGGTTGAGATTATTTATGCTAAATAATCTTCGATCAAAAATTCATTTTTAACGTTTATTATCTCTATATTGACTAGCTTGAATCTAGGGGTGTTACAATTATCTCCCCCTTAGGATGATTACGTCTCGGAATCATTAAAAAAATAGGGTTTGTATAATGACTAAATACGTTATCTATTCATCCTACACAATAACCGTAACTCTTATGTCCTTTCAAATGAGTATCTAACACTTGACTGCTGGCGGTGCTCAATCTTGCACCCGCTCTTCATACTATGTTGGACTTTCAATTGTTACCTTCGAGTTGCAAACTCGATCCTTATTGAAGACTCATACACCTTCATAAACAGACTTACATTAAGATAAGTTCTTTACTTCGATTATCGTAACATACTGAGGGGTCGTGTTCTAAAGATCTTTCATCATATGATGCAATGCTTAGACTTAGGTCTTTTAGAGTCAAATTCCAAAATGGAATATACCTTCCTTCATGTTCTAATGTGATATAATCAAATTCTAGTCGAACTTGGTTCTCTGAACCACATAACATACTCATATTAGTCGGACTCGACTTGATATTACCATTAGGGTCGGAAAAGCAATCATCTTCTTGGTCATTACCGAAACGATGGTAACAACATACATGAACAAAACAGAATCAATTACTAGCGCTTTGGTAACCTTGTGA